TGAGGGAGGGTAAAGCCTCCCGGTAGACGGGGATGGAAATGACTAGGCTACGCCTCGCGCACTATGGGCATTAGGACCCCAAACCCCGCACTAAGGGGTTTTTGGGTCTGGCTGCACGGGCAGGGGCCCTTGCAGGGCCTGGGGCCTTTTCAAAGGCCCGTCCAGAGGTGCAAACACCCAGCAATCTCAGCTCTGGTTTGCCGTGAAATGAAATGTTGGTTTTATGTACAACCGCGAAGGGAAGCAGAGCGCAAGAAAGCCCCCCTTTAATAAGGGGGTTTGGCGGTGAACCCTAAAGCCTGATTCGGAATTATTCCGAATCAATATAGCACCGAAAGGCATCAAAGAGCATCGGGGAGCATCATTGAGCATCATTTGGAACCCTGCTATCTTCGACCCCAAATGGCAAGATCAGCAACCCCAAATCGAAGAATAGAGTTTAATAGTTGGGGTGGTATGCTGACACAAGAGCGCGATAAGTGTGTGCCCTATTCCTAAAGTAAACGGCGCACCGCCGCGTGCACACACTGTACACAAACACACACACACACACACACACCCACCCACACCCTATACTCCCTAAGCCGCAAACCCTAACTCAATCCTGATCCCAAAACCCTAAGCCCCAAACCCCTGCAGCCCAAACCCCCGCAGGATCATGACTGGTCGGCAGCACCAGATTCGCAGGCACTTCGCGCACGTTGGCCACCCCGTCGTCCACGCACCTTTGCGCAGTTCAGGCACAAAGCGTGTTTTTTGTGATGTTTAGAGTTGAAGATTTGAGTTTAAGGTGCGTAACTTTTGGAGCCGTGTAAGACAGCTTGATTCTTGAGGCCGCAATGTAAGTCCGTACACATGACGCTTGCAGCAAACCCTGCATATTGCATGCCACCCTAAACCCTGAACCCTAAACCCCGAACCCTAATTCCTGAGCCCTGAACGTTAAACCCTGAACCTTAAACCCTGAACCCTGAGCCTTACACCCTTTGGTCGTTGTGCATTCTCGGGGATGTGGCGGATAGGCCTTAAAGCTTGACGAGATTCGGCTTAAGCCCGAAACCTTTGAAGAAAGGACTCAATGTAGACCTCAGAGTAGGGGTTCATAGTTAAGGGTTTACTACATTTGGGATGCAGAGTGTACTTTGAGAATATTCCTGTTTTATCGGGGGAAAATGGAGTCTTCAGTGACTAGGCCTTCAATCCTATTCTCTTACACCGCTAAACCCTACTGCCTTGTTGATTACAAGGTTGCGGATTCTCGTCGCTTCAAGGATGAAGAGCCCGAAGAGCCTCGCAAGTAAATAATCCTAGCCCCCCCAATATAACGGGACCCCTCCCATAGATACTCGGAAAGTGTTTTAAATTGTTTTAGGGGATATTTTTATCTCTGTTGTCAGATGTGGGTGGCTCAGGACAGCCTCTACGGAAGTGTGTGGACCTTGTCGGAGGACCAGAATGTAAGGTGCATCGTGTTCAGTGAGAAGGGTTGAGGCTTCTCTCAAGACTCCAATGTTGGTGAATCAAGGAATATAATTCATTTTAATCAGAACATGGATCCTTAACAGGTGCCCTCATGGTTTAGGGTTGGGGCTGCGGGTTAGGGCTGTGCCGGGTGAGGCTTGTGGCATTGACCGACCCTAAAGGCCCTAAAGGGGGGATAAATCCTGAACAAGGCCCCGAGTCTTGCATTACATCAGAGTTTAGGATTTCGGGCTGAAGTCCTGCAAAAACCAACAGCCAACTCAAACCTTTACAACCACGACAAAAGCGACCACACAAACCCAATGTTCAAACCCTAAACCCTACTGTAAACCCGGAAAGAACTAGCTGCATGGTGGCCAGCAGTCTTGTGTCTGCCCGAGGATTGAAAACGTGCGGCAACAGTAACTATGATAAATTATTATCTGTCATATTATAACTCTTACGGCTGATTGTGTAGGGTCGGGTATCTATTATGTAAGGACGCAGGCTTGAGGTTTTCCGACTGCCTCTATCCCACTTTTGGAGCCCTGCGAATCTGCCGGAGGACTCTACTCTTTGCACTCGGAATTGGTTGCATCGCTACCGCCTGGCCGTGGCCTCATGTGAGCCCATATTCTCATTGACTAGAAGTCAGCTAACTAGACAAGACAAACCTTTTTTTGCTGTATATATCTCGCGTTTTTGTAACTTAACCTGGCTTCTTGAACAAGTAGAGAGTCCCCTCGATCCCAACCGTTTTCGGGCTTTGTCGAGTTCAGTTCCGCTTCGTTGCTGACATAAGGCCTAGACCCTGAACAAGGCAAAGCCTAAACACCTAAAAGCCTCAACACGCCAAAGCCGGAAGCTTTAGACCCCATGAAACATGCTCAGCCCCAAGCACCGGGAATCCTTATAAAGCATTTTGTAGAACCTTAAAGGAGCTCTTTAAGGGTGTCAGGGAAGACAAAGAAACCGACTGAAGAGCCCAAAAGGCAGGCTTTCTCGGCGCAGGGTGGGTTGCAGGGTCCAGGCTAGGGTTTAGGGTTTAGGGTTCCCGGCAAGAGCTGTAAACCCCGAGCCTTCAAAAAAACACTCGGAGTTGTGAGCTTGGGCTTTCGTTCTTGCGCCTTGCAGATCGCTACAGCATTCCTGTCTTAAGGTATATCCTTTAATTAAGGAATATACCTTAAATCATAATAGGTAGCCCCTTATAAGTTAAGGTATATTCCTTAATTAAGAGGTATAGGGCTCTCTGGGAAGTCCCTCCAAACAAGCCCCGAGCCATTCCGATACTTCAGCCCCAGAAATCCTGAACCCCCAAATGGGTGGTGGTCAAAATTATGGCCCTTTTTGGGGGGTCCTTTGATATACGGCACCTATTATTTAGGGTACCCAAAAGGGACCATAATTTTGGCAACTACCCAAATCGATATAGACACCTTAAAAGGGCCCTTGGAGGAGCCCATAGAGCAGCCCTCGAAAGCATCCCATAAAGGGAACCCTATTCTAGAACCCTATAGGTTATGGCCTTTACTTTAAACCCAGAGAGCCCAATACACTTTAATTAAGGAATATAGCTTATATCATAATATGAAGTCCCTTATAGTTTAAGGTATATTCCTTAATTAAGGGGTACTGGGCTCTTTGGGAAGGGGGCTTTCTTGTAGAACCCTATAGCTTCTAGAGGAGCCCATCATTCTTGACGCCGACCCAAGGCTTTCAGGGTGGGCGGCAGCCTCTGGGCACAATGAGTCCGGGGTTTGATAGGGTTTAGGGTTTAGGGTCGAGGTTTAGCGGGTTTAGGGTTTAGGGGTTTAGGGTTTAGGGGTTTAGGGATTTAGGGATTTAGGGGTTTAGGGATTTAGGGATTTAGGTTTGAAAATTTAAGGATTTAGGGATTTTAGGGTTTAGGGGTTTAGGGTTTGGGGTTTAGGGTTTGGGGAAGGAGCCAGAGAGTTGGAACATCCTTATCTTCATGCCATGAAGGTAGAGTAGAGGGAATCCTCCGCACCTGAATGTAACCCTAAACCCTAAACCCTAAACTTTCTGGTGTTCACAAGAAGACTCTCAGGGAGGCCGGTAGGGGTTAGGAGCGCAGAGGGCGAGCCGGGGGTTCGACTCTATGAAGGACTTCTAAGACAAATGAGGGGTTTAGGGTTTAGGGTTTAGGGGGGTTTCTGGCATAATTACGGTTCTGAGAGTTTAGGATTTGGCTTTAAAGTGGTTTAGGGTTCGGGCTCTGGGGTGTGTAGGGTTTTTATCGGTACTTATGCGTGTGTGTTCTGTGGTTCGTCATCAGGTTGTCATGGGGATTGGTCCGCTGGTCGCCAAGTTCTGGACATGCAACCGGTCTTCCCTTGTGGCTGAGAGGTGAGATACTTCTAGCACCACTCAATAGCAACACTGGGTATGCTAGAAAATGGCAGACCAAGAAGACCAGCGGTGATGACTACGATCACGTATCTGGTCCATAATCCTTCTTCTGCTGCTGTCGTCAGCCCTACTGATTCCTTCAGTCGCATTAAGCGACACGAGGTTTGATCTGACAGTAAGGCTGTGGCTTGGATCCTATGCTGTTTTGTGTTTAGGTTCAGGGCTTTCCGGTCAAGGCTTTGGGGTTGTATCGAATGTAGGGGCCTGAATTAGAATAGGGTTTTGGGGTATATTATGTAGTTATAATCAGGAACCCCCAAAAGAGGTAACTTAATTATTAAGGCCCCTATNNCCCCCCCCCCCCGAAAAATAGTATAGGTAATTCTTTAGGCCCTTATATTAAAGCATATTAAACCCCACACGCTAAACCCTAAACCCTAAACTGTAATGATTAAGGCCCCTGTATTATTTGTATCGATCCAGCTGCTGTTGCATTTCCAGACTCCAGGCTTGCTCTTGTTCGTTCACCTGCCCTCTTCGCCAAGAGCACTCTCTTAAGGGCTGAGTATGCAAATTTTTGGGGATTATATCATCCTACTATCACCTATATGGGTGGTTGTCCAAATTATGGTCCCCTCTTGGGTCCTTACGATAATACGGCACCTATTATTTAGGGTACCCCCAAAAAGGGACCCGTATTTTGACAACTACCCATCTAAAAGTTTAGCCTTTTGTGGCTAGGGCACTCGGCCCCTGAGCTCTTCAAAGTTTAGGGTTTAGGGTTTAGGGTTTAGGGTGGCTGGCTTGACTGCCGACTCTCGATACCTCAGCTCGGGTGCTGCCTTATACGGGACATGACCTGAAGTTTAGTGGTTTGGAGGTTTAGGGGCTTGGGGCTGTAGGGCTTTAGGGGCTTCGGGTTTAGGGTTTGAAGTCTATCCTATTCTTTGCAGCATCAGAGTGCACATGCTCTTTTGCCGACTTTCAGGACGCAACCGCTCATGTACATCACCACTCCCTCAAGATTTGGAGACACCCAGCGGCACATTCTGCAAGGGGGGAGCATTTCAGAGAATTTGTCTAACAGAAGCCAAATCTCCTAAACCCTAAACCCTAAACCCAAATCTCCTAAACCCTAAACCCTAAACCCAAGTCTCCTAAACCCTAAACCCTAAACCCTAAACCCAAATCTCCTAAACCCTAAACCCTAAACCCTAAACCCAAATCTCCTAAACCCTAAACCCTAAACCCTAAACCCAAATCTCCTAAACCCTAAACCGCAAGCCCTGGGCTTTCCAACAGTATGTACCCTCGTCAGGTTCCCCCATCTGGGCTCGTTGCTGCTCGGCGCTAAACCCTCAATCCAAAAGCGTAAACCCTCAACCCTAAATCCTAAAGCGTAAACCCT